GTCACAAAAATGAGAAACAAATATTGGCGAATATGTAGAAATTGGAACACTGGTACTTTGCTGGAAGGAATATAAAATTGTACAACTGCTTTGGAAAACAATTTGGTAATTCCTCAGAGAGTTAAACATAGAATTGCCGCGCCGGGTGCGGTGGCTCAAGCCTGTAATCCCAGCACTTTTGGAGGCCGAGGCGGGTGGATCATGAGGTCAAGAGATCGAGACCATCCTGGTCAACATGGTGAAACCCCGTCTCTACTAAAATTACTAAAAATTAGCTGGGCATGGTGGCGCATGCCTGTAATCCCAGCTACTCAGGAGGCTGAGGCAGGAGAATTGCCTGAGCCCAGGAGGCGGAGGTTGCGGTGAGCCAAGATCAGCCTGGGTAACAAGAGCGAAACTCTGTCTCAAAAAAAAAAAAAAAAAACATAGAATTGCCATATGCTCAAGTAGTTCCACCTCTAGGTATAGAGCAAAAATCATTGAAAACAAATACTCAAACCAATATAAATACATGCACGTTCATTGCAGCCCTATTCACAATAATAGCCAAAAGGTGGTAACACCCAAATGTCCATCAACAGATGAATGGATAAACAAAATGTGCTGTGTGTACACACACACATGCAGTGGAATATTATTTAGATATACATGAAAAGGAATAAAGTACTTCTGCATGCTACACTGTAGATGAACCAAATGAGGCTGGGCGCGGTGGCTTACACCTGTAATCTAAGCACTTTGGGAGGCTGAGGCGGGAGGATTGCTTGAGCCCAGGAGTTCAAGACCAGCCTGGGCAACATAGTGAGACCTCATCTTTTTTTTTTTTTTTTTTTTGAGACGAAGTTTCGCTCTTGTTACCCAGGCTGGAGTGCAATGGCGCGATCTCAGCTCACCGCAACCTCCGCCTCCTGGGTTCAGGCAATTCTCCTGCCTCAGCCTCCTGAGTAGCTGGGATTACAGGCACGCACCACCATGCCCAGCTAATTTTTTGTATTTTTAGTAGAGACGGGGTTTCACCATGTTGACCAGGATGGTCTCGATCTCTCGACCTTGTGATCCACCCGCCTCGGCCTCCCAAAGTGCTGGGATTACAGGCTTAAGCCACCGTGCCCGGCTTGAGACCTCATCTCTTAAAAAAGAAAAAGAAGGCCGGGTGCGGTGGCTTACGCCTGTAATCCCACCACTTTGGGAGGCCGAGGCGGGGGGATCACGAGGTCAGGAGATTGAGACCATTCTAGCTAACATGGTGAAACTGTCTCTACTAAAAATACAAAAAGTTAGCCAGGCGTGGTGGTACATGCCTGTAGTCCCAGCTACTTAGGGGGCCAAGGCAGGAGTATCGCTTGAACCCGGGAGGTGGAGGTTGCAGTGAGCCAAGATTATGTCACTGCACTCCAGCCTGGGCACAGAGAGAGACTCTGTATCAAAAAAAAAAAGAAAAAGAAAGAAAAGAAAAGAAAAAAAAAATCATGATAAGCGAAATAAGCCAGACATACAAGGTCTTATATTATGTGATTTTTTTTTTTTTTTTTTTTTTTTAGACTGAGTTTCACTCTTGTTTCCCAGGCTCGAGTACAGTAGCATGATCTTGGCTTGTTGCAACCTCCACTTCTGGATTCAAGCAATTCTCCTGCCTCAGCCTCCCAAGTAGCTGGGATTACAGGTGCTCACCACAATACCTGGCAAATTTTTTGTATTTTTAGTAGAGGCAGGGTTTCACGATGCTGGTCAGGCTGGTCTGGCGAACTCCTGACTTCAGGTGATCCACCTGCCTCAGCGTCCCAAAGTGCTGGGATTACAGGTGTGAGCCACCACGCCTGGCCTGATTTCATTTTTATGAAATATCCAGAACACATAAATCTGTAGAGACAGAAAACAGATTGGTGTTGTCAGGGGCTGGAAAGTAGCGGGAGGGGAGTAACTACTTAGTGGGTACAGGATCTCCTTTTGAGGTGAAGAAAATATTTTGAAACTAGATAGTGGCAGTGTTTGCACACATTGTGAATGTATTCAATGCCACTGAATTGTTGACTTTAAGATTGTTAATTTTATGTGAGGAAAGAAAAAGGAAAGAAAGGCTGGTTCTCACTGGGTGCATGAAATGTTCAGATGAACCGAAGAAGCCTAGGGAAGGCAGTTAAGGTGGGAAGAAAAATGAAAGTAAAAACAGACCTGTTTGCTGGGTGTGGTGGCTCATGTCTGTAATCTCAGCACTTTGGGAGGCCCAGGTGGGTGAATCATGAGGTCAGTAGTTCGAGACCAGCCTGGCCAACATGGTGAGGCCCCATCTCTACTAAAAATAAAAAACGTAGCCAGGTGTGGTGGCATGCACTTGTAATTCCAGCTACTCAGGAGGCTGAGGCAAGAGACTTCCTTGAACCCAAGAAGCGGAGGTTGCAGTGAGCCGAGATTGTGTCACTGCACTCTAGCCTGGGCAACAGAGCAAGACTCTGTCTTAAAAAAAAAAAAAAGCTGACTGATTAGAGTTTGAGTTAGGGAGTCACTGGGAGAGAGATTGGGCAGATCATGAAGGCTCTGGCTTATATTTAATATTTGAGACATAGGAGAGAGGGCATGCCCTATTTACTAAGGTGGCTGAACTTAATCCTTAGCCCTATAGGCAATGGAGAATGAGTGGCTTTTGACCAGGAGAGGAACACTGTGAGATGAATTATTGAAATATCAATAAGTATCTAGGAGATTTGAACCAAGCAAGGCAGGCCTGGAGCTTGGTGCCCAGGGTATAGGCCAGTGATACCGAACACATCCAGGCACAGGGCGTGGTGGCCTAGAGAGGAAGCAGTAGGAGCAATAGCCATGCTCAGTGCTGCGGACATGCCACACACTGTTTTATATGATTTGATTCATACAGATTGACTCTTCAGAGCAACTCTATCAAATAGAAACTGTTTCTCCTCAATGTGCAGGTCAGGAGAAACAGCCTCAGAGTGACTGAGAAACTCACCTAAAGTTGTGCAGCTAGTAACATGACCTAGATTCGAACTCACACAGACTGACTCCAGAGCTGCTGACATTTTGATTGTGAGGCAAAAATGAATGAGAGATTGTTTTGATGCCTACTCACCAGCTTGTGAGGTTGAGGAGGGGGAGGTTGGAGGAAGGGGCAGCAGAGCCAGAGTGAAGACATTTTCCCCCTAGGTAATCAAAGGTTGGCGTAGGCCTTGTCAGGTGGGCCTTCACTCAGTCATCTCTTGCTGGCAGATGGACTTGGAGACTAGAGCTCATGGCTAGAGAGAAAGCTTCAGGAGGCTAGCAAAGGGGCTTTCAGCAGGGAAGGAGGGCCAGGGAAGTCCCACTCCCCTCACTTCCCACCTACTGCCCCTCCTGTGTACCCCGCTCACACCTGGCAAGGCCCTCTTGACCACATCCACAGGCACCCGCGTTGTCAGGTGGTTAGCGCCTCTCAAACGGCCACCTGCCCTTGTCTCCACAAGCCACAGGGCTGGCTCTTCCCAGGATGGTGCTGGAGGTGTGGGAGGCGCCCACCACAGATTCCACCTTCCCGCCAGTTCCTAATGTTTGGGATGAAAAAATTAATGATGGGCCGGGCGCAGTGGCTCAAGCCTGTAATCCCAGCACTTTGGGAGGCCGAGGCAGTTGGATCACGAGGTCAAGAGATCGAGACCATCCTGGTCAACATGGTGAAACCCCGTCTCTACTAAAAATACAAAAAAAAAAATTAGCTGGGCATGGTGGCGCATGCCTGTAATCCCAGCTACTCAGGTGGCTGAGGCAGGAGAATTGCCTGAACCCAGGAGGCGGAGGTTGCAGTGAGCCAAGATCTCACCATTGCACTCCAGCCTGGGTAACAAGGTAACAAGAGTGAAACTCCGTCTCAAAAAAAAAAAAAAAAAAAAGAAAGAAAGAAAGAAAAAATTAATGATATTTCTTTTCTAAGGTTCTAGGAAAGGAAAGTGGGTGAGAATGTGGTAACTTTTTTCTTCTTTTGGTTTTCTGTCATACAAATTTGCTTCATTTCGATTAAAAAATGTTCCCTAACAGGCTATGATGGAAAGTTGTCTTCTGTTGAAGCTTCCAGTGTTGAGGGGAGATTAAGGCAACAGAGAAAGTTCCAAAAATAGAAAAGCCTCAGTTATTATAGTGGCTTCTTAACACCTCAGCTTTGAGTCCCTTTTCCTCTCCAGTCCATGGTTGCAGTATTGGGGTGTTCATCTCTGGGAGCGTTGTCATTACAACGCTGAGGGGGCGGCCTCACAGCCGCTCTCCCTTCAGCCCCGCCCATCTTCAGTGTGCCTCCTGCCCTCAGGCGGGGCTCCAGCCACACCGCCTCCCAAGGCTGTGCCTGCCTTCTGCTTATGGCCTTTATCCTGGCTGCTTCCTCTCCCTGCAGTGCTCTTCTTTGTCCTGCATTGTCACGTGCTGTCCAGCTTTCAGGATTCAGCTCCCATGCTTTGACATGCATAGCCCCTCCTAATCCTCCCCAGCACCCTCTGATGTAAACACTGTTATACCCATTCACAGATGACACAAATGTGTGTGTGTAACGTGTGTGTAAACATTATACCCATTTTACAGATACAGCGATAAAGCAAACATAGGCACAGAGAGATTTTAAGAATTTGTCTAATATCCACATAAGAAGTAAATCAAGGAGCTTATTCCAAAGTCCATCCTCTCAACTATCATCCAGTATCAGTAGAGTTCAAAGCAGCATCTGATTGAGATGTACCATGAAGCTATACCGTAAGCCAGGCGTCCCCAAACTTTTTACACAGGGGGCCAGTTCACTGTCCCTCAGACTGTTGGAGGGCCGCCACGTACTGTGCTCCTCTCACTGACCACCAATGAAAGAGGTGCCTCTTCCTGAAGTGCGGTGGGGGGCCGGATAAATGGCCTCAGGGGGCTGCATGCAGCCCACGGGCTGTAGTTTGGGGACGCCTGCCATAAGCTCTCCAAAGCAAGAAATGTGTGGAAGCTTTGCTAAACCGTTTTTCTCTGTCTTTCCTCTTTGCGTCCAGGTCGAAGTAAAGCCATATGTGCTGGATGATCAGATGTGTGATGAGTGCCAGGGCACGCGCTGTGGTGGGAAGTTTGCCCCATTCTTCTGTGCCAACGTCACCTGTCTGCAGTATTACTGTGAATACTGCTGGGCGAGCATACATTCCCGAGCCGGGCGGGAGTTCCACAAACCGCTGGTGAAGGAGGGAGGCGACCGCCCTCGGCACGTCCCGTTCCGCTGGAGCTGAGCCATGGGCCGTCCCAGCCACAAGTACTGGAGTAGATGACAAGGAGGGAAAAGAGAGGGCACTGCCTCAGGGCTTACAGTGTTCTGGAAATCTGTGCATTTGTTCTCGATTTTTAAAGAAGAATTGGGTCTTTTTATTATTATTATTATTTACAGTCATATTACTGAACTCAGTGTCCAGTATAATGCAGAATTGCAGAGTGTAGGACGGTACTGATTTGCACTTTGATTCACACCTTTGTCTGCTTGGTACCTTAATTTTTTATACCTGATTTGTCACTTGTGACAGTATGTAGACTGCCATTCTCATCAGCGGCCGTCAGGCTACTGTCTGTGATTCTTCTGTTTGTTGTTGTGGTGGTGGTGTTCTGATTGTTTTGAACTGGAGCATGCACTTATTTTCAGAAACTTAGAGAGTCGCCCCTAGGACAAGACTTACCAAAGGTAATACTCGTGAGTAGGTGGCAGATGTAGCAAAACTTCACAACAGTTCAGCAATCATTAGTTGGGGTCACTTAGAGTAAGGATAACCCTTCATGAAAATAAGCCTTTAGTTGCTCTCTATTTTGACTTGTAAGGATACCTCATGAGCTGGATCTTTTATTTTTCCTTCATGTTTGATTTTTGTTTTGCTGAGGATTTTGGTTAGATCCTTTAGTATTATGTAAATTTATGCTGCAATAGCTTTTGCTGCTATTAAAATGGTATTTTTAATACCATAATACACTATTCAGGCTAAGATATCAATTAAAAGACACAAAAACCCAACAACACACTTTTGTGATTTTAGGGATAGAGTCAGCTGCCGAAAGGAGATGAGAATAGACTTCAGAAAGCTCCGGTGGAAGGTCACTATTTCTGACTGCATGTTTACTTAATCAGGTTGCTGCATGCAATAAATTTTATATCCAATGTCTAGTATAAAACGTTCCCACAATGCACAAATTAAGACTATATAAGCTATAAAATACTCATTTTTTTTAAAAAAGGTTTTTTTCATTCAAAGAATTGGTAATTGACCGGAGGAAGGCATGCCTCAATAAATGGAATGCTTCTGAATGGGAAGAGCCCATAACAGAATGATCTATATTACAACCAATAGAAAACCTAGGTGTAGGATATTCTTCAAGCAAATTTGTGGATGGTAGATGAAGTACTTTGCGGTGCTCTGTTATATATTGTGCAATTTATTTTATATAGTAAAGTGATTATGTCTAACTGTGATCAGACTTAACTGTCTAAAGCCTCTGTGTCAGACATTAACGAACCTGACAGTTCCTAACTGGTATATTATTAACTAACACATGAGCTCTTAGTTACAATCTCTTAGTGCTTGCACCATTTTACATAGCTTCAGACCTTGTCCAGAAAACCAAAGAGCTCATCTTAGCTTACAAACACTAAGAATATATACAGTATATAGAGATAAGTTGTCAGATTGACAAACTAGGCACATTTTTAAGAAAGTTGTGTAATGGTGATGCTAAAGAAATGTCTGTACAAGAGAAGATGGCTTGGGCAGAGTTGGTTGTCTGGGTGAGAAACTAACTACTTAATTCCCTGGATTTATCCTGTTAAGCTTGAATAGAATTAAGACCTGCTAGTACTAGCGTGGACATTTTTTTAGCATTCACTCTTGGGCTGCAGATAGTAATATAGAAACACACACAATGATTGCAAGACTATGTAAATCTTTTTTTAATCTTCTTCCTATGTTTTGGAATTCTGGGGACAATCTGACTGGATATGACACTGCAGAATAGATTTCAGTCGCTGTGTTTTCTGTGCTGTGATGTCCTTGTACTGTCTTAAGTTAGCGTTGCTTGTTTTTGTTTTGTTCTGTTCTCCCATGTTTAGTTGCAATTACTGGCTCTCAAGCTATAGTTTGTTTTCAAAAAGGAAAAACAAAATAGTTTTTTACTGGATTAAAAATGCTTATTTTAGAATCCTCCCCTTCTGAGGCTTTTTGGTAATAATTGCTTTTTTTCCAGCCCAGGTGTGGTTTTGTTTGTTTTTTTCTATGTTTGTGGGTTTTTTTTTTTCATCTGTACAAGAAATTTTGTTATGCACTACTACTTTTTGTATTCTAGACAGTTTTCAAAAGTTGGCAGACTTTTTTTTTTTGTTTTTAAGGAAAAAGGCATGCTTTCTGACTGACATGATCTTTTGCAATACCTCAATTTTGAAATATAGGAAAGAAAATGATATTTTCTAAGTAAGTTTATTCAGAAAAATATATATTAATTTAATTCTGCAAGAAAATGATTTAACAGATGGGTAACTTTATTTTTTTCATGCTTATTTGTGTTTTTTGAAAATGAAGAAGTTAGAGCTTTATAACTATAATATTAAAGATCATATCTAACCTACAGAAATCTACCTAATTATGTGAAAGAAGCAAAACTTTTTGAAGAAGCACCCCTCTTTCATGTATTAAAATAACAGAGATTTTTTTAAAAGCTGGAAGATTGTACAGCATAAAGCTAAAGTGAAGGCAAAAAACCATTGTCCTGAAGAATAGGTTACAAAAAATAAATTCCATTTGGTGCTGAAAGTTGTGACTAGATGGTGGAAACTACTTTCCCTTAATTTGTATATTTATAATCAAGCGTTGATTGTGCACGACTGACCAGGATTGTGAAAGAGTTCTTCTGTTTGTATTTTTTTAAAGAGAACTTTTTTAGTTTATTAAATTATAACATGTTCCCTTTTGTTTTGTAAATAAATGTGCCCCCAAGTTGTTAATGTTATATTAAAAGAGAGGGTCCTTCAAAAAAATTATTTTTTAAAACACAGAGGTGTTCTGACCTGCAACTTGACTGGGAAGCCCCTGGGTAACACAGGTCCTGCTGTGGCCTTTCCTTGGTGTGACACTTGAACTAGTCGATTTTTTGAAGGCTATAACCTAACCTCGACTATTTGTTGTTATGTGCAATACTGTTTGTACTGTTTGTATAAAAAATAGAAAAAAAAAGAAAAGAAAAAAGGCATAAATCTTTATTGCAGATTTATTTTCATTGCAACTTTAGACATTGTGATTCACTGAAATCATTTTTCTACTGTCAAATATGTACCTTTTCTTCATGCTGGTATTTTTTCAATAGTAATGTAGCCTTTGTACTGAGACAAATTTTCATTGTTATTTTTAGAAAGATTTTTTGCTAAGAAAAAAATTAAACATATTTACATATTTTTCATTTTATTTCGTATTTTCTTTAAGGAGTGCTTTCTCAATCATTAATAGAGTTGTTTCTGGGAGGGACTTTCATATCTGGTCAATGTCATAATATTATTTTGTATTTTTATTGGAATAAATTAATTTTATGATGCTAATTCTTTAAAAGTTTATTTTTTTCATTTTCAGTTATTTTTGAAGCTAAAACCTTTGTAATATTGTTACTAAAGTGTCTAGTTTTTTGAAATGCAAAGCTTTATGTATTAACTTGCTGATGTGGTTTACAATAGTGTGACAACGATGAAAATGGTTGGTTATGTAAAGTGATTGGAAATGTCATGGATAATTGGGTAATAAAATGACAGAATGAGCAGAACATGTGAGATTTTGAGAAGCCTTTTCCTTTATCACAGTGGTTTAGTGTAAGACTAGGGATGTCACAGTGCAGTTCTCTAGGGATGTCACGGTGGATTTATACAACACCAGGTGCAGCCAAACCTGTGGCCCTGAGAATGAAGTCACCCCAGCTGAAATACCACCAGGTTTCAAATCTGGCTAAGTCAACAGAGTGTGTCATCGCTTTTCCCTTCTAACTCTTCATTATTTCGTGTGTGTGTGTGTGTGTGTGTGTGTGCACGTGTGCATGCGCGAGCGAGAGAGAGACCTGCCACCAACTGCTGTCCTTGTGTGAGACAGTGCCTTTCTCCCAGGCCGAATCCTTGATGTGCACTGACAGTGGTGATGTCTGAGTCATAGGAAGTTGCAAAGAGGACACGGCCTTCGTGGTGTAGTGCAGCCCTCAGCTGCAGTGTCTCACACATGCTCCTCCCTGTAAGGCTGTTGGTGGCCCTGAGGACGCACACTCGGATGTCACCACTGTCTGTGGACCCTGTCTGTGTCAGGCTGCATCTTCCTCCACACCCATGCCTGCTTCCTCTTCCGGTGTCCCTTGTTTGCCTTTCATTGTGGCAACTCCGTGCATGATCTGTCTGCCTTTCTGCTGCTGCTTTGCCAACACCCTCCTCACCTGGAAGCTGTGCTGTAAGGCAGTGTGTCATTGCAATAGCACCTACAGTCAAAGCAAAAACTACAACTGCAAAACTGGTGTTGCGTAAACAGAACAGCCAATGACTTGCTCCAGATAGATGATAATGTTTCTACTAGTTCTTGACGGCCTCTTCCACCTCCATTGCTATGGAGGCGAGGTTAATCAATAACTCAGAGAAACTTGTGTCCAGAGTTGGTCTTGGGTACGCTCTGTGTATTCAGTTTTGTAAATAATATATAGATTAGATCAAGTTGTGATGTAAAATTTTAACTCAAATTGGGTACTACTGGTTGGAATTTTACCTTAACTACAAATAAATGATTAGGAACAGAAGAAAAGAAATTGGAAAATTCTTGCTTAGTGGTATAAAGATTATGCTTAGATTTCTGCCTCTATCTTGTTTTTTATAGCTTGTTAGTGAGGCATGGGCTAATGCAGAATGTACTGCATTTATGCAATTAGCAAATAACGCTAGTTTTCATTTTACCTATTATATTAGCAACAAAATGGCATTTAACTGGGTAAAGCTCCTACCTAAATATCTGAGTATTGTGACATCTCTACTTGCAAGGTTTGAGTGAAAGATTAGTCACAGATTAGTGAAAAAAATGTATCTTTTTGTTAAAACTGGCTTATTTGAATGGATTGTTGCTTTTCATTAGCTTGTATGGTATGTCAGCTAACATTTCTTTGTTTTTTTTTTTTCTTTTATTACCAAACTTCTCTATCTCAGCTGCAATAGTGTTCCATCTTACCACAGAGTATTTTATAATTAATGCTGTTGACTTTACTCTATACCCCAAAATGGGTCAAGAAGTGGATATATGATTCGGGGATGTTTAAATTTGTATGATGACAAAGTTAATTGCAACAAGTAGAAAACTTGGGTGCTAATACAGGATAACTTCTGCTCTTTTTCTTTCCTGGATATTGTTCTGTTGGGGTATAAAGTATTAGATATTTGTATTTTCGCTGTCAAAATAATGGACTTAACTTTTAGAGTGTTCACAGCTAAGATCTCTGTATTTGTTTTTCAACTAACAACTAATTTTAAATGTATTGTATCTTTTATTACCTGTTCTCTTAGATTGTTTTTTGCTAGTAACCCTTACTCAGCTTCTGCCTTTGGGGCTTGGACTACTATTGCTTGTATGGAACTACAGTACTGTGACTAAACATGGAGCTCAGTGCAGCTATTGCTTACAACGCTTAAACTTTGTAGTTTGGACTTCATTTTTTTTCTGTAATAACAACTTATTAAATCTAGTTGTATGAAGTACTGACACTTGTCATCCTTTGCATTTGCTGAGGAATAGCTTGGAGTATGCTTCACGTTTGGGAACATCGATGCATTACAGTTTGCTTGATTAGCTTTTTTTTTTTTTAAACACATCCCTTTTATTTTATTTTATTTATTTATTTATTTATTTATCTTTAATGAGACAGCGTTTCGCTCTTGTTACCCAGGCTGGAGTGCAATGGCGCGACCTCGGCTCACCGCAACCTCTGCCTCCTGGGTTCAGGCAATTCTCCCGCCTCAGCCTCCTGAGTAGCTGGGATTACAGGCACGCGCCACCATGCCCAGCTAATTTTTTGTATTTTTAGTAGAGACGGGGTTTCACCATTAAACACATCCCTTTTAAAGCAGAGTACAGCAAAATTCACCCTTTCTCTGACACAAATAACACTCATTTACGAAAAACAGGCAAATATATTTGCAACAAAGTATTTGATTGTTGACACATGTGAACACATGTTTTTAGAAGTGCAGTTGGGTTTTTACGCCAGACTTCCCACGTGAAACCAGTTCTCAGAATCCCAACCAAAACTGGCAGTGGAAGGTAGGTGTGCACCACTTCGTTTTATCTTTCACACCTGGCTCTCCGATTTTTTCAGAAAATGAGTCTTTTAAAAATCCCTATCGCTTTTGGAAGTGCTAGAAGCCATCTCCTGGGCACTGACTAATCCATTTAGAAAACGGATCACAAGTGGCTGCACCAGCGAATCCCTGGCAGGGCTTTCAGAACAAGCAGGGACCAGCGTCCCTCTCCCCAGCCTGGCTCCCAAGATGGATTCACTTGGTTTGGGCTGGGGTCTGGCCGCATGTGTTTTTAGACTCCCTGGCTATCACCCTCAGGATAGGAAACCGCTGTGTAGGCGTCTTGGGCCTGCGCAGCGCCTTCCTACAGGATGCCTTGAATAGGAAGGGGCCGCTCCGCCCAGAGACGCCCGCCAGGCAGAGCCGCTCGGCAGGGCCACGTGGGGCGGCTGCGGGCGTCGGGTCTCATCTCAGGCTCCCTCCCAGGCCGCCCACCCGCAGTCTCCCGCCCGCACTCCTTCGGTCCCCGCTCGGGGTCCCACGTTCTGCCCCTCCCGCACCCGGGGCCCTGGCCTGGGCTGTGGCGCATTTCATCTTCGCGGCAGCCCTACAGGTAAGCTCACCCGGGCCGGTGCGCCGCGAGCCCCCACGCCCAGTTCCACCAGGCCTGAAGGACAGCTCAGGGCCCACGCTGGGGGAGTCGCTCACTGCTCTGCGCGGGGCTCCGCTTTCCTCCTTGCTAGATTCAGTATGAGCTTTCACCTGCCCGGAGCAGGTGCCCCTATCCACCAAAGGAAATCAGAAGGCTCAGCGCCTGTGCGGCTGGGATCGGAGGCAGCGTTTGGAGCTCTTTGCCCTTTGGACCCTCTACCCCGACCCAAAAGGGGAGAAATATGTGTTTGAGCCCCTTTTAAGTCTCCTTTTATTAGAAATAACATACATTAAGGCCACAATTGGAATCCTTTCAGAGGGCCGGTCTGACTAGGAGCCCGCATTTGTTCCTTAATTTAAGAAAAAAAAAAAGAAAGGTTCTGATGTCCTAACTCTTGGTGTGAAGAGGGACTAGGTGCCGGTATGATGACTAGTGTATTTAGAGCGGGGAAAACCGATTCCTGTTCCGGAGGTCTGCGACAGCCCGCCTGCTAATTGCATGGCTGTGTGAAACATGCCCCATGAGGAGGCCAGAGGTTATGTCTAAGGTCCCGGCTTTACCGAAGAGAAAACTCATCACCAGCAGTGCTGATGCCCATCAAGCTTTAACACTGGGGCATGGTGCAGTTCTTTTTTCTTTTTTCTTTTTCTTTTTTTTTTTCTTTTGAGACCGAGTCTTGCTCTGTCACCCAAGCTGGAGTGCAGTGGGTCGATCTCGGCTCACCGAAACCCCCGGCTCACTGAAACCTCCGCCTCACAGGTTCAAGCAATTCTCCTGCCTCAGCCGCCTGAGCAGCTAAGATTATAGGCGTGCGCTAACACACTCAGCTAATTTCTGTAGATTCAGTAGAGACGGGGTTTCACCAGGTTGGCCAAGCTGGGCTCGAACTCCTGACCTCGTGATCCGCCTGCCTCGGCCTCCCAAAGAGCTGGGATTACAGGCGTGAGCCACCGCGCACGGCCGTGATGTTTCACCAGACCTTTGACACGTGCATGTGAAGTGGTATTTACATAAGCCCTCCCATGCTAGAGTCATAAATTTTAAATCAAATATATGATTTTAAAAATATTTTAACGAGAACTGTTCTACGACAAAGGGTATTAACAGCTGAGGAGAGTAAGGGGGTGAGGTGAGCCCAAATTGGTAGGTCCTGCTGCCATTTAAAGGATTGTCAGGAGGAAACACTTTTCTCTACCAGCTAGGTTTGATTGGGGGTCTAATTAACTAGAAAAGACAAAGTTTATGCATATGCACATGGAAGTGCACAAAAGTGATTTCCTCCATAATTAGAGACAGGGATTTATATAACTAACAATAAGCGAAAGAGGAGTTCTCTCACGGAAAAGGGCGTCTGTAGGAAGATCAAGTGGTTTCTTTCGGAAAGAGAAATGAGTTTTAGGAGATATGAACGTATCTGGGGATGTTTGTTTACGCAGGTGCCAGTGCTCTGCATCTCTTTTCTGCCCACTAAAGCTCGCTGGGAGGGGATTTACGGCAGCTTCACTCTCAGAACTTTTTGCATTTATTCAGATAAAGGAAGCTCTGAAAAAGCTCGTTTTTGCATCTGTTGAATCTCAAATGTCTTTAGTTTAAAATAATCTTCCTATCAAGTCTGGTGTTCCAAGTGGGTCCCCACAGGCTGGAGTGTTGATGTTTACTGAACAGATAACTGAAACTTATCTGAATTCTGTCCCATTACACAGTAGTGTGGAGGGGATAAAATTGAGGTTTGGACATTGTATGTATTTAGATAAAGAAGACTTCGCTGTAACTGCAAAGGCACTCATCTCAACATTTAATTCTGGCCCTCAAGGGTCAGTCCAACTCATGCTATTTTCTTCGCTGTTATTGCTCAAATCTTTGGTTAAGCTGGTTTGGGCTCCACATTTTCTTTTTTCTTTTTCTTTTTTTCTTCTTGTGAGATGGAGTTGCTCACTCTTGCCCAGGCTGGAAGCTGGAGTGCAGTGGCGCAATCTCAGCGCCCTGAAACACCACCTCCAGGGTTCAAGCGATTCTTTTGCCCCAACCTCCTGAGTCCCCATGGGACTACAGGCACCCACCATCATGCCCAGCTAATTTTAATATTTTTAGTAGAGACGGGGTTTCACCATGTTGGCCACGCTGGCCTTAAACTCCTGACCTCAGGCGATCCACCCTCCCTGGCCTCCCAAATTGCTGGGATTACAGGCATGAGCCACTGCATCCGGCCTCAACTGTTAAGCCTAAGGGAAACATCCAACGTGTCACCTTCAGTGCAGGCCTAAACCAAATGACTCTCTTTGTAAATGGAAGAAAAACTCCCTTGGCAAGTCTTAGTCCCTAAGGTGATGAGTTGTGCACCTGATCTCTTCTTAAAAGACAGGGTCATTTTGTTCAATTTCATTACTCATCATTAAAACCAAAGTACAGCAGGCACAGTGGTTTATGCCTGAAATCCCAGCACTTTGGGAGGCAGAGGCGGGCAGATCACCTAAGGTCAAGAGTTCAAGACAAGCCTGACCAACGTGGTGAAACCCCATCTCCACAAAAGGCCAGGTGCAGTGGCTCATACCTGTAATCCCAGCACTTTGGGAAGCTGAGGCAGATGATCACCTGAGGTCAGGAGTCTGAGACTAGCCTGGCCAGCCTGGGGAAACCCGTCTCTACTAAAAATACAAAAATTAGCCAGGTGTGGTGGCAGGCACCTGTAATCCCAGCTACTCGGGAAGCTGAGGCAGGAGAATCACTTGAACCTGGGAGATGGAGGTTGCAGTGAGCCAAGATCGTGCCATTGCACTCCAGCCTGGGCCACAGAGCAGGACATTGTCTCAAAAAAAAGAAAGAAAAGAAAACCAGAAAAATTATTAGCCAGGCATGGTGGCACATGCCCGTAATCCCAGCTACTTGGGAGGCTAAGGCACAAGAATCACTTGAACCTGGGAGGCGGAGGTTGTAGTGATTCAAGATCATGCCATTGCACTCCAGCCTGGGAGACGAGAGCAAAACTCCATCTCAAAATAAATAAATAATAAAACCAAAATGCAATTCCAGTACATCTCCCCCCCCCACTAGAATGACTAAAAGTTAAAAGTCACAAAATGCCACATTAGGGAGGATCTAGGTTAAGTACTGGTAAAAGTGGAAGGTGGTATGTTTAGTCCATTGTCTGTTGCTATAACAGAATTCCAGAGTGGCTAATTTATAAAGAAATTTATTTCTCACCATTCTGGACGTCGAATTATTTCTCACCATTCTGGACGTCGAAAAATCCAAGAGCATGGCCTTCTTGCTGTGTCATAATGTGGCAGAAGGGCAACTGAGCACTTGAGACAGAGAGAAAGGCACCAGGGCCAGACTTGCTTTATAGCAACCCCCTATCATAATAACTAAGCCACTCTCCAGATAACAACACCCATCCCTTTATGAAGGTTCTCCCCTCATGACCTCATCACCTCTCAGGCCCCATCTCCCAACACTATTGCATTGGGGATTAAGTTTCCAACACATGCATTTCTGTGGGCACACATGCAAACCACAGCACGGTACAGCCATTTTAGAAAACGTTTATAAAAACTGAATTTGCCTATATCCTGTGACTTCCTTTTCCTCTAATTGGTGTATGCCTACCAAAAATATGTGTGTTCAAAAGACATGTACAAGAATAATCACAGCAGCAGTATTTGAATAGCCCCAGACTGAACGCAATCCAAGTGCCCTGCAGTATTAGAATGGATACATTATAGCATATCCACAGATGGATCCCTACCCAACAGGGAGAATGAAGATATACAACAAACATGCAACATTACAGGAAGTTCTCACACATTTA